CCATGTTCTCCAAGAATCTGGAGATCCAAAAAAGGGCTTAGAGGGAAAGCCAGGTAGGCAAATGATGACAAACAAGACCCTGCCCTGGAGTCACTGACACACAGAAGTCCTCCGTGGTGCAAAGCTGAGTGTCTACTCCCCAGATGTGTGGGACTCTCTCCAGACACACATTTCAAGATAGAGACAAACTGCACATGTGACAACCACATTTCATATGATAAACTTGATCCGATGCATGGATGGATAGATGGTGGGTGGTTGGAAGGATGGATGGATGGTGGATGAGTGGATAGGTAGGTGGATAGACGGATGGGTGGGTGGGTGGGTGGATGGATAGGTGGACAGATGGGTGGATGGGTAGATGGATAGATGGGTGGGTGGGTGGATGGATGGATGGATGGGTGGTTGGATGGATGGGTAGATGGATAGATAGGTAGGTGGAGGGACGGGTGTGTGGTTGGATAGATGGATGGTTGGATGGATGGGAGGACAGATGGGTAGATGGACAGATGGGTGGGTGGGTGGGTGGGTGGATGGATGAGTGGACGAGTGGGAGGACAGATGGATAGATAGGTGGTTGGATGGATGGATAGATGGATAGGTGGACAGATGGGTGGATGGGTAGATGGATAGATGGGTGGGTGGGTGGATGGATAGATGGGTGGATGGGTGGGTGGGTGGGTGGGTGGATGGGTGGGAGGACAGATGGGTGGATGGATAGATGGGTGGGTGGGTGGATGAATGGATGGGTGGACAGGTGGGAGGACAGATAGGTAGATGGGTGGATGGATGGGAGGTTGGATGAATGGGGGGGTGGATGGACTTGTGGGTGGGTGGGTGGGTGGATGGATAGATGGGTGGGTGGGTGGACTGGTGGATGAAAGGATGGAGGTGAGTGTGCTACCTACCTGCACAAAATATAATAGTAACAATGACTCAAGACTTTTCAACTGAAGGGGAAAGTGCTCAAAAATGACTTCCCTGTGGCAGGACAGACACAAGGGGAAGGACAGTGTCAGGGAGATGTTCTCACAGGCCCCATCTCCCTGCCAGCCTGCCGCTGCATGGGCACCATCACAGCCGCCATTTGCTCCTCCTCAGTGAGGCCAAACGTGGGTTTTTGTCTGCACCATGTCCCCCATGAGCCGCTCTCAGATCAGAAAGGAACAACTGTTGGAGACAATGGTGAGCTGGATGCGGATGGGGCCGAGGGTCAGGAAAGCCTGTTCTGAGCGCCGTGTCTCCCTCGCTCTTCCTCCGTGTGGCTCACCGGAACGGCACGTGATTCTTGAACCTGCAGACAGTCTCACCCACTGCCTGGGGCACGCGGCACCCCAGCAAGAGTTAAACACAGGGCACCACGGCGCATGGGGAAAGCTCAGCCAGCGTCATCCAAAAGATATTTATCGGTTGCCAAGAGGTGAGAGATAAGCATAAGTATTTTCCAGGAAGGTGGTCGCATCTGGTTAAAGTTAAATGGAAACCTCAAGTTAACTGAAGCTTTTAAACAACAGTAACTGTCCCTGAAGTTCACCTTCTATGAAAAGACTGAGATCCATGCCCGGCAGGCAGGAGGCCCGGGCACTGGTGAGCCCACGACAGAGGAGCTCCCACGGTCGTGCGGGCACACCTCCCCGGACGACGGGGCAGCTTCAGAACCGTCCGCCGCAGAGAGGAGACCCCCGCACGGCCCCATGGCCACTGTGGCCCCACAGACCACCACGCGCCACGAGGTGCCGTGGGCAACCCACTCCCCTGGGGCGGGGGGGGTTCAGCCATCGCGTGTGTGACCCAAAGGAGGGGTGAGCACAAGGCGTGGACACGGCCGGACCCTGGCCCACCAGCTGGGGTCCAGAGCACCACTTGCTGAAATGACTGGACTCGTGCGTTGAGACGAGCGACAGGACCCAGGCGTGATTCTGCCCCCAGCACCTAGGCAGAATCTGCACCCGCTGTGTGCCCTCCCCACGCTCAGACCTTCTTGGCGCCGCACACCCCGTCTCTGGTCTGCACCCCTTGACAGATGGCCTGCACTGTTAGGGTGGATGCCCCCTCGTCGCCGGGGTCCCCACAGCCCGCGGCTCTGCGTCTGCCATGTGCACGGTGCTTAAGTCCAGTCCTGGAGCCCAGCTGCCCAGGTCCACCTCCTGGCTCCCTCTTGGTGGCTGTGCAGCACACACATACACACATGTGCACGCGTGCACACACACACGTCTTTGTCCCCCCAGACCTTAGTTTCTGCCCTGTAAGCAGGGTCAGAACACGACCTGCCTTCACTGTCATTCCAGGGGCAGCCAGCTCCAGCCATGGTGTGGGGGCTCCCACAGTGGCCCCTCCTTCCTGACCACGTCCCAGAGCCCCAACCACTGGCCGCATTGTCTCCAACGTGCTGGCGCCAGCCCCTCCCCCACCCCGCTCCCCTTGAGGGGACAGGGAGGCACCTCAAGTGGGCAGGACAGAGCTGTGGCCCTCAGGCGGGTGTGCTGGGATCAGGTGACCCATCCACGCCCCACTGGCCCACCGAGAGGGGACTGGGGGCGTTTCTGCCCTGGGGCCCGCCACCCTGCAGGACACACTCCAGAGGAGGGACACAGATGGTGGTGTCATCTGGTGGGCAGCTCTGGATGGGTCCTGGGAGGGAAGCAGCACCTGCCCCTCGGGCCCCCTCTCCTGCAGAGGTTCCCCTACACTGCAGCCTCATCATGCACCAGGGCGGCCTGAGGACCTCACTCGGCCAGTGACGCCTGCACTCCCGATGGGCCAGGAGCCTCACACTCGTCAGCAATTCGGGGGAGGGGCTAGGGACCCCTCGGTCCCTTCCCTCCCCACCACAGTCTGCCCCCATCACGCGAGGTGGGAACATCCACCCCAGCACAGGGGGCTGGCCGTGGGTGGTCCCCCGCTGAGAGGCCAGAGGAGGGGAGAGCACTCCAGCCCTCAGCCCTGGCTCCCCTGGGACCCTCTCCAGCCAGGCCATTCCCAGGGGGGGTCCCCGGTGTGACGAACATCTGACACCGGCCTCTGTCCTGAGGGGGTGCGCACAGTCAGTACTGACAAAGGAGTCCCCCAGGACTCCACTCGGAACAAGGCCGCCCTCGCAGGCCGGGGACCCTGCCAATGTGTGCAGATGTCCAGCAAGAAGTCCCCTTCAGGCCACTTGGCTGACCAGACCAGCTGCGGTTAGAGAAATTCCACACCCCACGCAGCCCTGCCCGGGCCTCGCCGGCATGAGAACTGCCCTGCACCGGCTCTGGGCCTGGACCCTTGCGGCTGGGCCCCCCGCCCAGAGAAGACCTGGGCAGCAGTGGATCTGCGTGTGTACAGGGCCCTGGGCAGGCAGGCCCAGCCCCACCCTCCCTCCCCGACCCCCACCGTCCTTCCTCCGCCCAGGAGGAGGAGGGGGGTGGGGAGCTGTGTTCAAGCTGCCGGGGCTCCTTCACAGGGCCGGGGCCTTCCTGGCAGAACGCCTCCCTATGGGGCTGCTCCTGCCCCCAAGCTTGGCGGGGATCAGGGAGCCTAGCAGCAGTGGCCGGGTGGGGGACGCAGCCTCCAGGAGTCCTGTGCCAGCCTAATGTTCGGGGTTCCGGGCACTGCGTGTGTGTAGGATGTGGAGCGAGGCTCACTGCAGCTCCCCCTGCCCTCGGGGTGAAATCAGAGCCCGCGGTGCTCCCTCGCTCCCAGAGCAGGCCCTGTGCACGCGGTTCCCTGCAGACGCTCCTGCGAGACCTTGGGCGGCCAGGCCACGGTCGCCCCCAGAGCAGCCTCCCCGTCCGTCTGTCTGGCTCAGTCGGCGTCCCTCCCTCCATCAGCCCCTGGTGTGCTGCTTCCTGAGCTTGGGCACTACCCGCCACTGGCACTTGTTCCTGCCCCGGCCTGTGGCCTGGGCGCTGCAGCCCCTCCTTGGGGCACCCCAGGCCTGGCCCAGGGGCCAGGGAATTACCACGCATGTCCCTCAGGGGCCCAGCAGAGGAACACCCCTCTTGGGGTCCAGTGCAGCCACCCCATCCCCACTGGCCCAGCTCCAAAGCCCAGTGACTGCAGGGATCGATGACCACAGGGATAGATGACCACAGAGATCGATGATCACAGGGACCGATGACCACAGGGACTGATAACCACAGGAATAGATGACCACAGGGATCGATGATCACAGGGACCGATGAACAGGTCAAGGCTGCTCCCCAGGCCACCAGGGGGGAGGGGAGAGGAAGGTAGCAAGACACACACAGCCCAACACAATGGGGCCGAGGACGGTAGGTGCCAACGGGGAGCGGGCACTGCTCAGGGCCAAGCCCCACCCATGGAGGGAGAGGAGCCCGAAAGCTGTGGCTGCCCACCCTCCCCTACCTGCCACGTGGAGATGGGAACATGGTCCAGGTGGGGGACGAGTCCCAGGAGTGGCCCTCGCACCGGCCAAGCTGAGGGGCTGTGCTCTGGAGCCAGGCTGGGGTGGGCCCCAGATGAGCTCCGTGGACTCACTGACCACTGGCCTGAGTGAGACTCTGGACCCTCAGAGCAGCAGCCCCTCCCACGGCATCTGCCCCTGCAACCCCGGCCCGTGCAGGGGGCACCGCCGAAGGACGTCAGACACCACAGCAAGGGGCTGGGAGCAGCGGCCAGAATTTGGTGGGAATCTTGGCTCCCATGGGCAAGTCATGTCATGGCTGTGTGCCTCGGTTTCCCCTCTGTGACAGGGGGTGCAGCAGGCTATCTCAGAGCCGTGGGGAGGGCTAAATGAGCTAAAATGCTAAGGCAGGGGCACTCCCCACGCATCTCCCCACACACTTGCGCACTTCCAGCCCCCTCCAGACCTCAGCCTCACCCCTGCAGAAGGGGCATCACTCCCCTCCTGCCTCCCAAGGGAGCAACGGGCACCTGAACTTAAAGGCCCAGCACTGGGGGTGGGGCAGGCTTGGCCTCTGTGCCGGGGTCCCCCAGCCCGGCCGAGCTCGCCTGGCAGGGCACAAGGGAATGGGGGGGAAAGCTGGCCAGCCAGTTACCTGCAGCCGGCCCAATGAACACACAGTACCCATCCTCCTGGGCAGGGAGCGAGGCACAGCTGACCGGCAGCCCGCCCCCGTCCAGGTGGCTCCAGCACGCGTCCTCCAGGACCTCACAGAACTGGCGGCAGGGCGGTGGGGCGGGGGGCGGGCCGCAGGGGGGGGCCAGCAGCAGGCAGAAGAACCAGGCGAGGAAGCGGTGGCAGTGGGTCCGCAGGAGGCCCCCCCAGGCACGCGCGGCGGCCTGCACCTCCTCGCTGCGCACATGGTGGAGGTGGTTGGGCAGCCAGGAGCGCCCGATGCCCAGGCGGCCGCAGACGGGCAGGGAGGGCGGCAGGGGCAGGCAGCGGCCAGCGGCATTGTGGACAGGCTGCCCGGCAGGGGTCAGTGGGTCAGCCCCGAGCAGCGAGGAGTTATTAGCAAGACCAGGTCCCACAGAATTAGCCACGTGGGGAATCCAAGCACCACTGTCCCCAATTAAAGCTGAGAGTGCGATTTGAGACAGCTCAGTGGGAGAGTCAGAGGAGAGAGCCGAGAGGGCAGTGCCCAGCGAACCCGTCACCAGGGGGAGCAGATGGAGCGAGTGCCTGCCGACGTCAGCGTGTCGGTGCTGCTGGCCGGGACGGGCTGCCACGGGCAAGAGTTCTTCACCATCCAGATCCTGCAGCTGCCCTGGGGACGGCCGGCTTCCCCAGAGAGGGGCCCCGCCCAGCGTGGAGGAGAGAGCTCTACCTGGGGACGGTGGCGGCAGCGAGGGCTCCCTGAGCAGTGCCTGGGGCGTGCCAGGGGAGGGAGGCGGCTGGGTGGGCACTGGCGAGGTGCCGGCCTCGGTCCTCTGGGTGACAGGAGAGCTTGGGGCCCCGCTACTTGGCCAGAGCACGGTCCCGTTCTCCTGAGAGGCGCTGGAAGGCCCAGGGAGGGTGAGGAGGTCCGTGGGGGTCGCAGGGGTTGCCGTCCCCGCCCTGGTGGAGCTCTCGGCGGGGGTGGTGTTGTCCCACAGCCGGACAAAGTTCCGGATGCCCATGGCCACGTTCAGGATCTCGGCCCCGACGCCGGCGATGTTCTCTGGGCTCTCGGTGGAGGCCGTGGGGGCAGCGGAGGCCCGGCCCAGGCCAGCCTCCAGCCTCTCCGGGGGCAGCTCACGGCTGGTGGGAGCTGTCCCCTGCTCGGTGGGGCCATCCTGGTGGGCCACGTGCGTGGTGGTGTCCTCTGTGGATTGCACAGATGGGCTGCCCCGGGGCACGGAGACCGGCGGGGCTGAGGGCCCTTTGGTCCCAGTGGACCACGGCCAGAGGAGGCTCAGCAGTTGAGCCCGGGCGGCCCCGAGACAGCAAAGCAGCAGCAGCAGGCGGAGGCGGCTGCTGGGGTGGGGAGCCATCGGAGCTGTGTGCGCTGCACGGCCTGGGCTGTGGCCGCCGGCCCCGGGGGTGGGGCCAGCCAGCTCCCGCCCTCCCCACCCACAGGCCTGCAGCCAGCTCCCCCATTCATGCTTCCCGCCAGCTCGCTCTTCCACCTTCCCACTCTCACAGAAGAAAAAAAGGCACAAACCCCTAAATCAAGGTGACAGGCGTGCTGCAGAACTTCTCTTCCCCTCCTTACAGTAGCCACGGTCCCCAAGAGGCCAAAGGGACCTTTCAAGAACATGCAGTGGAATTGCCAACTCCCTCCGCTGAGCTGGAGGGCTGCCACCAATCCCCCTGTCGGGGTGTGGGCATGTGGGCTCCGGCCAGCACCCCAGGCCCCTGGAGCATGGCAGGGGCTCCTCGATTCTGTGCCCTTCAGCCTGGGTGCCCTCTGCAGAGCCCGGCTCCAAGAGAAAGCCCCGGCCCGGCCCCCTCAGGGCATCTGCTCTGGGCAGGGCTGGGAACCCCAGGACACCAAGTCGGTGGCCCCCGGCCCCCTGGCCCACTACCCTCTGCGCTGGGAGCCACTCCAACGGAGAACAGCCCGGAACCTGGCCTGGGGCCACCGCTCTGGGGTAAAACTGGAACTTGACAACGCTCAGCTTGTTGCAAGTCCAATTCTTCTGTTGCAACTGTCGCCTCTAAGACATTCAACACCCAAGGGGCAAGGGGGACGCAGGGGCACAGGCTCCCTCCCGCTCAGGGATGCCGTGCCCCTCAGCCCGCCCAGCCCTCTGGCCTCATCCTTCCGGCTCGTCCTCCAGCTCCGGCCCCCCGCCCCATCCTCCAGCCCCCTCGCAGACGCTGGCCTGTCCTCGCTGCATCTCACCAGAGACCAAGCGCTGGGTTCGAGCATTGGCAACAATGGCCTTTTCTCCTTTTTCATCCTTAGGCCAGCCCAGACAACAGCCGCTCCTCGTTCTCCATTGGTTAGAAAGGGGCTGTCCGGGGCTGACCCTGCCCTGCGTCAGTTTCCACCAGGCTTCTGCATCCAGCCGGGTTTCTAAGCCAACTCTTGAGAATTGCTTGAGAGGGAGAGAACACAGCAGCCATGGGGCATGGACATGGAGGCAGAGGAGAGTCACGGGCCTTATCAAGACAGACAGTGCCAGGCACAGCAGGTTCCAGACAGACAGATGTCCTCCCCCAATGCCTCTGCCACAAACCACAGAACTCAGCCCCCCATGTGTGGAACAGGGGTGCTGTGCCAAGGCTCAGGGCCACCTGGTCACCCCGGGGCGCACGAGATGGGGCTGGGTGAGCGAGCCCTGTCCAAGCCCTGGGTGCCAGTCCAGGGGCAGGGGCCCCATCCTGGCCTCCACTCAGCTCCACCATTCCAGGTGCCCCTTCTGGGCAGTATCCCTGGAAGGGACGGTCTCTGGGCATTGCTGCTGTCGCTCTGCAGGGCACCAGCCAGGCCAGGCTGTAGCTGGACACTGCCCACCGTGTCCCGACTCCTTCCCGTCATAAAACCTCGCGTAACACTTTCTTCTGTCCAAGACACTGAAAGCCCGCTGCTCTGTGGCCTTAAGTCCTGCCAGCGCCGGCCGTGGGCCTTCGGGAGAAGGCTCCGGTCCCTGGGAGCAGCCTGCTTGGTTCTTAACGTGTGGCCCAGGGGTGCGACTTTGATTATGGCCATCACTCTCCCCACACGGCCAGGCTGGCCCCACTGCCCACCTAGCACACACCTTCTGTGCTGCCCCGGGAGGCATCCCCGGGCCTGGGCAGCCGCAGGAGGAGTGCAGGTGAGGGGCGGGCTCTCCCATCAACAAAAGGACCCCGGGGGACAGGAACCGCTCCAGGCTCTGGCCCAGCCTGAACACCCCAGCAGGGCTGCCTGTAAAGCAGAGTGTCCACAGCCCGCCAGGCACAGTGCTCAATGCCACGCTGGTTCTGTGAGCCTGTGACTGCGTGGCCCTCAGCCTGTTTATGGATGAAGAAACTGAGGCACGGGACCAGAGGCCTGGCTCCAGGTCACAGAGCCCAGAAGAGGCGGAGCCAGAACAGAATCCAGGCAGTCTGCACATGTGCACTCCCCCAACACGCTTACACAAACACCTGCTCATTCACACACTTGCACAAACTCACACTCACGTACCCACACTCACTCTCACTGCCACATATGACCACACACATGCACACACTCACACAACCACACACACACAATCATACACACTGTTTTCACCACCGCAGTCTACACTAGATCCCACGTGCTCTGCCCCCCAGGTGCCTCTCTGCCAAGTCCCCTCAGAACCCCGCCTTCTCCAGGCTGCGCTGGGGGCCTAGGCCCTCCCTCTCCCCAGGGCTGGGTTAGGCAGTGACGGCAGCCATGGTGAGACAGCCCTGAAAACGTGTCCCCAAGCGTCCACAGCTCAGGACACCGAGATGCGATCGATGGAGAGCCGTCTAAAGGGCAGGCCCGGCTGTTTGGGATCAGAACTCGTGTTTCAGGACAGCTGAACACCATGTGCCCTCTCAAAAGGGGGGGGCATCCCATATGCAAACATCTGTGTCTCGGCAAGCCCTCATTCCAACATTAGCCCCACAACACTCAGAATTCTTAGAAATGCCCAGAGCACAGTCTCTGCTTGAAAATTCACTGCCACTAATGCGATTTTATGCCTAAAAGTGACTCTGGGAAATCTAGGACAGAACTTCCCGAGGCCCTGCCTCCTGTCCTGGCACAGATCGGGGAGGGGGTGCTGGCTCACTGTGGCACAGCTCCTGACCCTCATCAGGCTGAGGCTGCCCCGTGGGCATCCCGATGGCCCTGGGCATTCGGTCGCTCTCTGAGGCCACTCGCCAACTGGGCGGGCCCTGCATTCCCTCTCTCAACCCACCTTCGCGGCAGAGCCAGGAGTGAGGAAGTGTGCCGGCAGAAGGGCCACAGCTGCCGCCATCGGGGGGCCACGCTCTCGAGGAGGGCAGGTGGCAGCCCGCCATGCTGAGCACCCGCACCTCGATCTTCCCTCCACCTTCTACCCTGCTCCCTCCACCCCTCACCCACTACCCTCACCCGCCACCCTCACCTGCCACCCACGTCTTAACACTCCAGACCTCGCCCTTTCTGCCCACCTCTGCAAGGCCACCAGCACCTCAGGTATTTCTAGGACATCACATGTTCAACCTTCTCTGGAAAAGGCCAGCGCAGCCCTGCCACGTTCCACAGCTCGGCCCCAGAACTCAGCTCCTGCCAGGAAGCAACCTGCCAAGGTGCCACCACACAAGCCTCCGTGCACATGCGTGCACATGTATGCTCGCACGCACTGCAGTCTTTCACACACATGCATGCACAAGCATGCTCAGTCACACATGCATGCTCACTCACACACGCAAACTCATGTGCACGCACGTGTGCATGAGAGTATGCACACATCACATATTCACAAGCATGCATCTCACACATGCTTACATGCACTCATGCACATGCACACTCATTCATGCACATGCACTCATACACATGCACACACAAACTCAGTCTCCAACAGGCTCACACCACACACACTCACTCGCATGCTCACACACAGACCCTGCAGCTTTCAGAAAGGCTGCAGTGTGGACCAGGTTCCCCCAGCAACCTCTCCTCAGCAGGGTGTGGCTGCAACAGGCCCCCCTGCCCCACCCAGCTCCTCGGGGACGCTGCGGGGTCTGAACCTCAGGGCCCCAGACGGGAGCTCAGGGTCATTGCCATCAAGCCCTGTCCCACTCAGGCCCGTCAGGAGCTCCTTGTAAAGGGCCCTGCCCGGCTCACACCGCTGGAGTCTGTGCGTGCTGCCAAGGCTGGATAACCTTGCCTGAATCGCCCGTGGGGATGAAGGAGGGGACACGGGTATTGAAGGGAAACCACTTGAAATCGCTGAAACACCAGTGTCTTTGGGTAAGATGCTGCGTTTCTAAAGACACTTGATTCTCGAAGGCCCCGAGGCCAGAAGAGCCTCAGTGGTTCTTACGATCCAATCCGTTACAACTGCCAGCCAGCGCTGGGACCCTCCCACGAGGGGAGCTGGTGGAACTCGGACCCCTGGCCGATGGCAGTGCCCAGATCTGCCCGCTCCACTCCAGGCTGGGCAGCCAGGAACCATCTGAGTTTACCTGGGCAGCTCCAGGCCGGGCCTCGGGGCAGGAAGAGCACAGTGTCAGGAGCTCCCCGGGCTCTGGGGTCAGGGGTCAGCCCCTCAACTTGGTGATGACGTGTCAGAAGTCAGGGGTGGGCTGGAGGCTGGCATTCGGGGCTCCTCCCCCATGGGCTCCAGCCCCACACCGACCAGAAGGGAGCCCCCAGAAGCAACTCCCAATGAAGGCAGCGCCGGCTTGGGGCAGGCGGGATGGCCCCCCGTCGTCCTTGAAGTGTCGCAGTGCCTGTGTCCCGCAGGTCCCGACCCTGAGGCCAACAGGGGAAAGCATCTCTCTCCAGCGCCCAAGCCTCCCGCGGTGGCTCAGTGCTTGGGAATCACCCAGGGCCCTGCGGGGGTAGACCCTCTAGCTCCATCCCGCTGAAGCCACAGCTGAAGCTCCCTGCACACGTGACCCCGTGTTGGGCCGGGTCCCTGGCAGGACCTGGGACAAGAAGCCGGCTCCTGTGGGGCCTGAGGCGGAAAGCCTCTGCCGGCCTGGGACCAGCGGCAGAGCCGTGCTCTGCCCCAGGCCCTCCAGCAGTGTGGCCAAAAGGGTCCCACGGGTCTGAGCGTCCATCTGGCCTTGGCGGACCCTGAGGGCACTGCCCCCCATGGAGTGGGCCACGCCTGGCCTCCCACGGCTTCGATGTCCCTGCATGGGCTCACCACTGCCGGCCGCCAGCCCGTTGGGCTCAGCACTCAGCTAAGAGCCCAGGGCAGGGTTGTTTCTGGGGAAGCTAGAGATGGCTGAGAAGACACCTGCGTTTGTCTGAGTTTTCAGAGTGGCCAGCTGGGGAATCCGCCTGACCATGAACACTGGTCCCGAGAACGGGGATGGCGCCTCCTTCCAGGAGGGCGTCCTCTGGGGCTCCCTT